GGTTACCGTCCGGCCGCTGGAAACGGGCAGCAGCTCCTGGCGTGCGGTACCGGGGACACCCCGAGCTCTTCCGAGGCAACGGCAGCCCGCCATGGGCCGGCTCCTGTCGGGATGGAGCCGTCAGGTCAACCCGCTGGGCGGGCGGGGTAGCAGGCTCAAAACCGCCTCTCGTCCATATGAACAACGGCGATAAATCGCGATACGTGGCGTGTAGCACCCGGCGATTTCGAACGAGGGGTGAAAATGAACGCAGGAGCCGGGCCGAGTTCACCGCCGTGAGAGATTTTAGCGGGGCAGGCGATCTGTTAGAGAGGGGGGCATTCAAAACACTGGGCTTACAATAAGCGGTGCGACAACGGGTTGCGCACTGGGGAGAGTTTAAGACGCCTGTGCGTGGACGTGTATGCGAGCACACCCTGCGCCCTTCCAAACCCCCCCCGGAAGCCCCAGTGGGTTAACTATATCTAAGTATATATCTATATGAAGGGGTCTTAAGGCTCCCTTGTGTCTTTCTCCAGGATGGGTCATCTCAGCTCTCAGCCTGCGCACCCCGGGGCTGCAGCCGGGCCCTGGCGGAAGCCACTGCCGACGGCAGGGCCGCGGGGCTGGCGGGGGTTCCCCGATGGCCAGCAGGGGGCGCTGCAGCCCCGCGGATGCGCTCCGAGACCCGCGCCCGCGGTTGCGCCACCGCGCCCCGCGCAGCGGGAGGGGAACGGGACGGGACAAGTGACGGGCAGGGGATGCTCGTCGGGGCCGTCCCGGCGAGGTGCGAGCCCGCAACGCAGCTCCGGTGTTTTGTTCAGCTTGCTCCGCACATGTTGACATTCAGAGCGAGCCGGGGTCTATCACGGATGGGTGCGGATTAAGGCTTCGTGTGCAAACGCAGGGATTTGCTCTTTTTCCCCCCACGGCCCGCGTTAGTAACGTCATTTCGGAACCGCAAATCAAACCATGCATAAGTGAAAATAGATGCGCAAAACAAAGCCGGGGATGCCTGCGGTTCTTGAGCGACAGGCCGGGTTTATGCAGCGCCGAACGCAGGGAACCGGCCGCGGGTGCGCGGCCAGATGGGAGGGAAGGGGGGGTTGGAAGCGAGGGACAACGATGCTCTGAATTAGCATCGAAAAGACAAAACCAAAACGACGGTCCCGGGTCGCTTCTGTGGCCAGCGGGAGGAAACCCGGGCAGCGGGCCCGTTTCCCGCGGCCACTGCAGCCCCTGCTCGCCGGTGATATGGGCCCTCGATGGCAGCACCAGCGCAGGCCCAGCTTAGCAGGGACGAAATAGGGGGAGTGAAGATTTCAGGGCTGCTGGAAACACCCGGTGTGTGCGCCCCGTTCTTGAGCCCTGGCTGCGTGAAGAGCGAAGCCCTATACACGGAGTTCCTCGTGCTAGAGGAACCAGGGCCGGCACCGACAATGCCTTGGATGAAATCCACTTGCGGCGGAGGCCCCGGGGTGCCCGACGGGGCAGGATCGTGGGCTCTCTCTGATGCCTGCAGCCCGGCCTGGCTCTGGAGCCCCTGGCTCGGCCAGTCTCAGCTCCTCTCTTCGCGGCCCGGGTTCCTGTCCCTCCCGCCAAGCATTGCGCTGTTGAGAAGGGCTCGCAGCACGCCTAGACATACTGACTGGGATTTAGGACGTCTAGAAAGGAATGAAATTAGGGATTTAACCCTCTCCTCTAATTCACGCAGTCCCCCTCCAGACACGAGCTGCCTGGGCCACCTCTCCTCCCTTCTGTGGGCACGGATCCCTAGGGCTGGAAAGAGAAGGGGGAGACGGATCTCGCCTGGAAAAGAAAGTTAAGGGGAGGCTGAAACTTCCCTCACCACTATCCCCCCTCCCGTGAAAGTTCATCCTGGATCAACCCGTAAATCACCGTCTTACCCCGAGGTCTCCCGCATCTGAGACCTTCCTCGCATTCTCTTCTTGGCTCGGCTTTTAAAAGATGAGTATTAGTTTGGAAATCCGGAGCTAGTGCCTTTGAGGCCAGCCATGTAATTTGACTGCGAATGTAGCGCACCCCTCCCTCCGCGCGAAGCTGCCTCGAAGTGCGCTTGGAGCAGATCGGGGATTGCTGGGAAGGGAGCCCCTGCCAGATTTTTCTCCTTGTAGACGCCAAGACAGCGAGAGCAGCCTGTCAAGACGCTGGGTTGGAAAAGTTCAAGAGAGGAGCTTCGGGAGATGCTCCCTGGGCAGCCCGGGCTGGAGCGCAGCGGCCCCGGCAGAGCGTGCACCGACTCCAGTGGACTGCCCAAGGAAAGCGGCCAAGGCGACGAGTGGGAGCGAGATAGAGAAATTCAAAGTGAAGCGGAAAATCCTGGGAAATCCCATCCCGAGCCCCCTTGGTTTTTGTTCTGTCCCCGGCCTGTTTTCTCCTTGACAAAACCCAGAGAGAGCTGGTGCTCCCCAGGCTCTGCTTGCGGTTTCTCTGTCTGTCTGTGTCCACACACGCACATACATTTATATATAGAGATATATGTACACATAGATACATATATGCACGTAGCGCAGAGAGCAAGCAGGGCTCGGTGCTGCGACTTCCAGGTTGCTGCGGCCGAGCTCGCTCGCTTTCCCCGGCGAAACCCGGCTTGGGCAGGGGGGAGCTCCCTGTTGCAGCCGCAGCCTCCAACGCTAAGCTCGGGAGCAACGGGACCCCCCTTCGGGAAGGGCTACAGGATATTTCCCGGGAAGGAAAGAGAGGTCAATGGAAATTTATCGAGAGGGTTTTTGGCTTGGTTTTTTGGTTTTGGAGGGTTATCCCTGCTCTTCCGTGTGTGACGGGTTTTTTCTTCACACGGATATAATTCTTTCCCTCCCCAACTGCTAAATTACTCGATGCAGTTTTCAAAGGAACCCTGTGATTATGTCAGGATGTCTGGAGATAGAAAAAAAAAAAAGGCGGGGAGGGGTGGTTGGGGGAAGAAGGAGTTGAAGTTTTTCCAATTCATATTCATTCTGCAGTCCCGGAGCACTGTAAATATGCAGATGCAGAGGACGGCTCTTCCTAGAAGTTTATCCTTTTTTTATCTTCTCGTTTCTCTCCCCCCCCCTCCCCCCCTTTCAGTGCTCAGGAACTACGATCCCGGTCGAAATCAGCACATCAAATACCGGTTGTATTTAGGGCGCTCTCTCATCCTGGCTCAGGGCAATAACCCCAAATCTGTGCGAGAAGAGCGTTACCGCCTGCTGGGGGGGGGGGGGAAGTTACACAGAAAAGGGGAGAGGGAGCTTTTTAGGTCAAAATACTGTCGGTTCACGAGGAAATCCACCTCTCCCCTCCGCAGCAAGCCCAGCGCAGGGGGCCGAAGCCCGTGTGTCTGCGGAGAGAGGAGCTTTTCCCAAACGGGTGAGACCTGGAGAAGGGCACCTCGCTGCAAAATGTGTCGGCAGACTTGAGTTACGCCGTCCAAACATCCCTCTCACTTTGTCCCTGCAATCGTACGCACGTGTGGGGATGGGTGTCCATCCGGACAGCCGCCCAGCGCCTGGAGAACACATTTCCATTTCACACCGAGAGACGACTTCTCCCTTGCACGAAGTACTCTCAGCGCCGGGGGCACAAAGGAAAACACGTCCACAGAGCAAGGCGCGCAGACCCCGGCATCCCTGCGTGCCCAGCACTGCTTTGCCACTTATATTTACCCCGTCGATTTGATATTGCGTTAAAAACACCGGGTTAGCTGCAAACAGCCTGTTTTCAGAGCGAGGGGAGGCGAGCTCACCTCGCCCTTTACTGCACAGAAGCGAGGACCGCTTAGACACCGATTTGTTTATCATACTTTAATGCAGCGGAGTAACGGATTCTTTGTGTATAAAGTGGAAAGAAAATAGAAAAACAATGTCCGGGAACGAAGGAACGAAACGCTAGATTGGTTTTAAGACTTCCCCTATCCTTTGGTTCAACAGAAACATTAATTTACATTAGCAATTCCGCATCTTTAAGATAAATTACACAGCGTCGTAATAGATTTAAAGTACGCCAGATTTTTTATCATTAATTGTAAATGTGCAAAATACCTGCTGGTACTTCACTTTAGAAGAATGTAATTGGCAAAAATGGGAGGCTGATGAATAGATAATAGATCCTTAACTACCAATAAACAGTAAGCACCAGCCAAGAGTATTAGGATGTGATCATAATTATTCTGCGGCCCCAGCCAATGGGAGGAGGAGAACTCAGCCCTAAAATCATCCCCGGGCCCAAAGGTAAACGCGAAAATACGGACAAGGCTGGAACCGGAGACTTGCTCCCCTGTCCCGTCTGCTAGAGCTCTGCGTGTCCCAGCTTTGCATAATGCAACCTCCCTCCGCTTTGTTTTCCGCACCGCGCGGTGCGGGGAGTGCAGAGGACAGGACGGGGGAGTAAATAAGTTCCAAGGACTAGGAGGGCGACCCGTTCTCCCACCGGGGTAGAACCTCTTCAAGTGGGGCATCTGTCTCTCCCGGACTCTCCGGGGCTGACCAAGGTAACCTCGCCGGGCTCAGAGCCCTCGAGAGGTGGCAGGGACAGGGGTGTCACCCTGGCGGAGAGCCCCAAATCCCCATCCCAGCCCCCCCGAGAGGAAATACAGGCCCCCTCTCACCCCCCCTTTTCCCCCAGACCCCGTCCCCGTACCTTGGTCGCCGAGCGCGGAGGCTGAGCGAGGCGCGGTAGCGGGACCGCGCTCCCCCCGCGCTGCCGGGGGCGCTCCCGCTGCACTCCGATCCGCGGCTCCATCCCTCCCGATGGCGCTGCCCGGCGCTCGCCTCCCCTCTGACGCACTTTAAAGAGTCTCCCCCTTCAACCTCAAGGCGAGTAATAGCGACCAATCATCAAGCCATTTACCAGGCTTCAGAGGAAGCTGTTTATGTGATCCCAGCACTAATTAGGCTCATGAACTAACAAATCGTTTGCACAACTTGTGAAGGGGCCGATCACATCCATGGATTGTCTTTGGACTTAGGGAGGGAGGCGGGGGGGGGGGGGGGGGGCGACCGCCTTTTCCTTGCAGGAGGGAAACTTCTCCCAGCAACTTTTTTTCCCCCCCCTTTTTTTTTCCCTCCCTGTGTGTGTGTGCGTGGTGCGTGTGTGTGTGTGTCTCCCTTTTGGGTACCGCTGGCTGCCGCTGCCTCCTTTTCCTCCAGCCCCTGTCTATTTATGTGTGTATCTATCCCTCCTCAAGTCACTGCCTGCTGCAAACTTCCCCGGATCGTCTCCCGCGCACCGGAGAGAGCCAGGCAGAGATTCGGCCGGGGACTCTCGCCGCGGCAGCATGTTTCAGCCCACACCCAAGCGGTGTTTCACCATCGAGTCGCTGGTGGCCAAAGACAGCCCCTTGCCCGCGTCTCGCTCCGAGGATCCTATCCGGCCGGCGGCGCTCAGCTATGCCAATTCCAGCCCGATGAACCCTTTTCTCAACGGCTTCCACTCCACTGGCAGGGGGGTTTACTCCAACCCGGACTTGGTCTTTGCAGAGGCCGTCTCCCACCCGCCCAACCCGGCCGTGCCGGTCCACCCCGTGCCCCCTCCCCACGCCCTGGCCGCCCATCCGCTGCCCGCTTCGCACTCCACGCACCCGCTCTTCGCCTCGCAGCAAAGGGACCCTTCTACCTTCTACCCCTGGCTAATACACCGCTACCGGTATCTGGGCCACAGGTTCCAAGGTACGTGCAACTTTTCTTCTCCCTCCCGGCCACCCTTCCATCCTCCGGCCGGTCCCCGAGGCGCGGCTGACGGGGGGAACCAGGGGTGGGGGGCAGCCGGTGCCCGGAGCCGTAAGACTCTGCTCGGATGGGCCGAGGGGCTTTTGTTCCTGATCCCCCCCTCCCCGCCAAACTTGAGGAGCTGTCAGAGCAGGGGGTGGAGGAGGGCGGGGGGACACACACAAGCTTTGGCTCGGTTTTGCCGAGCTGCTTCTCCCGGTTGGAGCGGGGCAGGAGGGAACCAAGGCCGGCCGGGACTTCGGCGGCGTTCTCGCCCCGACTAAAACCAGGCGGGAAAGGTGGATGTTTTGCCTTCCGCTGCGTTAACAGCTACGGAGGAGCCCTTGCAAAAGCCGCCCTGCAGGGATGGGAACAGAGGGGACGTTAGGTTCCTCCGGGAAGACGGTGGTGCCCGGGGCTGTGGGGAGCCGCAGCCGCCCCGAATCCGGCCGCTGCCCTTGTTAGCGGGGACGGGGCAGAACTGAAACGAACCCGGCAGAAAAGAGAAAGAGGGAGGAAAATAATGGCAACGCTGGAGCAGCGCAGGGAGATGGGGCTGCGAGGAGAGCAGGGCTGGGGGCAGAGAGCGATGCCGTCCGAAGGGGCAGGGGAGGGCTCCCGGCTTCCGAGCTATTAACAACCGGCAGGAGGAAAAGAACCGAATCCAATGGCGCACGATCAATAAAATCCCCCTTGCTTAACCCTTTGCAACCGGCAGCGCCTTCTCCGCAGGGTGAGCCGGTTTCTCCCGTAATGGGTCCGGCTTCTCTTTCGTTATACACACACATAAAAAATTAATAATAGTAATAAAAATTCAACCTAATTTCTGAGTGATGCATTTGCTTGTTTAAAAAATTATTATTATTATTATTTTCCTGGTATTTTAATTTTTATTAATTCCAAACGAAAACAAACCACCTGCGATATCCCTTCCCGGCCTTCTGCTGCCGAGCCGTTGGACCCGGGTTGGAAAAGGAGTCTCTCTTTGTCTCCGAAGCTAGGCAGACAGGGATACAAAAAGGATTATTACCCTCTCAGAATAAAATTACAGGTTTCGCTCACCAAATTATTTGTCGCAGTCATCAGGCGATTGGTAAAGAGCGGTAGATGAAAGGCGGAAATGTCCTGGTGTTGAGCCACAGCCTGATTTCAATCACACCCTCCTCCTCCAACGATTTCTAATGCAATTACGGAGAGAGACCCGCATTGCCTTTCCCACCTCTGAGGGACCGACACGGAAAAGCGGCACAGGGTCAACCCGGAGGGAGAGACCCACCAAAACCCCTCTGGTGACACCACACCCCCCCCCCCACCTCGGGCCCGTTCCGCATTAGGCCGGTTGGGATGGCGGCTCCGTGGCCTTCCCAAGTTTGTTTCTTTATTTCCCCTCCGGTTCCCTCCGGGGCAGCGGCCACGGGCACGGCGGCAGCGGGAGTCCTCTCCTCGCTCCGGGGAGCTCACCCTGCCACAACGCAGGGGAGAGCGGGGCAAGAGAGAGGCCACGGCCGGAGCTTTGGGAAAGGGAAGAGGGAGGAGGCCGGGAGCGGGCTGCGGGAGCTCGGAGCTCGGCCGGGGCTGCACCGGGCACCGGTGCCCCGCCGGGAGGATGTACATAGCAAACAGGGGAAGATGTGAGGCCAGGGAAGTCGGGCAGCTGCCGAGAGAAGCCGCAGACACCGCAGCCGGGCTCTGGCCAATTCTTTTCCTTGATTCTTCCCCCCCCCCCCACCTTATTTCCCTCATGTTTGTGTTTTAGTATTTGAATTTCTTCCAGTCCTCTCCTTCCCCGGCTTATTGCCTTCACTTATTTATCGAAGGGAAATGTAACAGCAAAAAGGCGCTGAAAATAATAACAAATAAACTATACTCAGTTTTCCCTTGCGAGTAATGGTGGGAGGCAAAAAATCCGGCGCTCGAAACTCTTCTCGAGTGCGTTTGGGGAACGTGTTTCGCTAATCTCCGTTTTACCCTGTTGCCCAGGGAATGAAACAAGCCCGGAGAGCTTCCTATTGCACAACGCACTGGCCAGGAAACCCAAACGGATCCGTACAGCTTTCTCCCCATCCCAATTACTGAGACTGGAACATGCCTTTGAGAAGAACCATTATGTAGTAGGAGCAGAGAGAAAACAGCTGGCACACAGCCTCAGCCTCACGGAAACTCAGGTAAGCGGGAAGCAGGGAGTGGGCAGTTGGGAAAGCGAAAGTACTGGGATCCTCTTGGGAAAACGCACCCGGTCGGCCTGGAGATGGGGGTAAAATTACGGGCAAATTTTGGGAGTGTTTAGGCCTCCAGCCCAGGGCCGGTGGAGCTCAGTGAGGGGTTCTCTTTTGCCTGGGTGTTGTTAAATCATCTCCCGTTTCTGAGAGCCGCCGTCAGCACCGGGAGCTCCGGTGGCTCTGCCGGGGGAGTGGTGGAAACGGCGATACCCCGGTCTCGGCCGCTGCCCCCACTCGGGATCCCTCCGGAGCGGGACCGGGAGCGGCGGAACCTGCCATCTGCGTGAGAAAGGCGGTCCTGGTCCTTACCCTGCGGGATGCTGAGACCCTCCATAAGTAGTGAAATGCTAGGGGGGAAAAGCCCCCAAAACAAGAGGCGGACTGAGCCCCCCCCCCTTTGGACCCTACGTCAGAAATGCAGTTTCTTGGTTGATTTTGACTCGTTTCTATCCCCGCGTCCAGCGGCGGGGACATGAGGAGCCTGTTCAGGAGGGCATAAAGATGAAAAATATCATTATTAAGTATAAGGACTACACCCCCCCCCCCCCCATTTTCTTCCTCGCCCCCCCCGCTGGCTGGCTGCTGGCCAGAACCACACCGGAGGCTATTTGGGTCGTCCATCTGCAGGGCCGATTAGCCATGTTTCTGCTCCGGGCGTCCCGGGGCGAGGGTCTCGATGGGTTTCGAGGCCGCGCACCAGTAGTGAAGCTTCGGGAGCGGGGCTGAGCGCGGACTCCCCCCGACGGCGGGGACCCACGGTCGGTTTTCAAGCGGTTTTCTACTCTCCGGAAGAAAGGCTGAGGTTTGGGGCGTGGGGCGGAGGGGGGGTGGGTTGGTTGTTGTTGTTGTGCCGGGCTTTTGTTTTGTGCCCTTCCAGGAGAGAGGGCTCCAGATGGGGATTGTCTCTGCTACAGTATGTGGCACTGTACTTCAAGTAACAAAAAAAGAGAGCCAAAATACCGAGCCGCAGCGTAGTTCAAAGTTCCCAGTAAACACAGCGTTCCTCCGGCGGATTAAGTTGTAACACTTTTTTTTCCTCCCTTTTTTTTTTCCCCTCTCTCTCCTATTTTTTTTCCTTAAACTCCTTTTCGTGGGGGAAGCAATAAAGAGGTTGGAGCTTTTGTTTTAAAATGTCTCCCTAACAAAACAATAAAAAGGGATCGCCACTTTTATGAGGTTCTCCGAACAAGGGACCGGTCACAGGCTTATTTCTACTGGAAAGCTGTATTTAAGGTGGTCTTTGTGCTGCTTGATTCCGAAGCTGGTTGGGGTCTTTTGTCCGGATGTCAAACCCCCAGTCCCCTACAAATGAGCTCCCTTTTGGGAGATCAGCGTGCAGAAATGAACCGTCCTCCCCTTCAATTAGCAAACTAAAAGCAAATTAAACTCACCCCTTGTTCCCCGCTCAGCTTTTTAATGGGGGACTTTTGGAGAATATGAAAATGCAGCAGAGATGTGTGTCCGGCCAGGCAGGTCTCTGTTCTGAAGAGGCAGCGAAGCGGGTTAAACCAGCTTATTAAAATGCTCCAGTTCCCTTTTCCCCCCTTGCTGAGGCCTTTATCAGGCACTTTCAGACAGAACCAGAGTTTAAACTGCTTTAAAAAAAAAATGATGTTTACCTTTGGTCGCTACAAGGAGTGTGGCCAGCCCTGGAGATAGCTCCCAGATCAATACTATCTGTAATTAAAGCACTGAAGTCAGCTGCCGGATGGTTAAGTCAGATTTATTCCTCGCTGAACCATTTTAGAGGGCTATTTACGACGGCACTTAACGTGTTTCGCCTCGCTACGATCTCTCCTGGACGGAGCGTCCCGGGGAGACGCTGCGGGGAGCACCGGGCGGTTTTCTTTTCGGGGCTTTTACTTGCATTTTATTCTCTTTTCCAAGAGGAAAAGAGCTCGTCCCGCCCCTCCCCGTCCCCATCCCGCTGCCCCGTTAGAAGGGACGAGGACCGTCGTTCTGCTTTGCCGGGACGGTCGGGAGTATCGCACCGCCGGCCCGGCCTCTCCCGCCGCAGCCTCCGGTCGCTTTGCCGGTGCTGGAGGCCGCGGGACTACTCAGAAGGCCCGGTAACAAGAGCCGCCCCGACGGCGCGGTGAGAGCCTGCCGCCGGGCAGCCACGCTTCGTCTTCCCCTCGTGGGGTGCCTGGCGCCACGCGCGGGCATTGCGCGGGGCTACTCATGCGCGGAGGATCCGCGTAGCCTGCGCAAGGTGCAGGCACTGCGCGGTGCGGTAGTGGAGAGCAGAGCCGCGCACACAGGCGTCGGTGTGGCTGCCCGCTCCGTCACGCGTGGGGAGTCTGGAGGTCCCGGGTGGGCATCATCAGTCTTGTCTGTGCCTCTCCCGGAGAGGTTTAGTGGCACCCAGGCCCTGGTCGTCCCTCTCCAGGCTGGGGTGCGATGCAGGCAGAGTATGGTGCAGACAGGGCACGGTGCAGGTAGGGCATGGTATTAACAGAGCACGCAGAGCCTGAAGCCCCTCGGAGCGTCCAGGGCAGCGTGATCCAGGCAGCTCCAGAGTCCGGTCAAGGAGTCGGACTAACGCCCGCTGCCTTTCCTCCCGCAGGTAAAAGTATGGTTTCAGAACAGACGGACAAAGTTCAAGCGGCAAAAGTTGGAAGAGGAAGGTTCAGACTCACAACAGAAGAAAAAAGGGACTCATCACATTAACCGGTGGAGAATCGCCACCAAACAAGCCAGTCCAGAGGAAATCGACGTCACGTCGGACGATTAAAAACTGGCACTTTTGGGACTTTTCAAAGCCAGCACCCCACCAACAGCAAGTGTTAACGGCTCACACTCCCCCCCCCCTCGGCGTGGCGGTGCGGGGAAGGGACATGGAGATCTCCATCAAAACCGCGGTCCCCGCCGGGGCGGGCGGCCGGGAGCGAGCGGGGTGAGGCGGCGGGAGGTGCGGGCCGAGGCCCCGCTCGGCACGGCGGGACCTGTCAATCCACCACCGGGACGAGGCGATTGACAGGTATTCCGTTTCTCGCAATCCACTTTTGAAAGTATAAACGTAAAAAAAAAAAAGATATTGACAAAAAAAAAACAAACCACCTTACAAAGAAAAAAAAAAAACAACAACCAAAAACAAAACAAAAAGCGCGAAACAAAAAATGATCCCCGAACCGAACCAGAAAAATCACCACCTTACAGGACATTTTGCACTTCACAGGTTTTTTCCGTCTTTGAAAGAGAGATTTCCCTAAGCAGCCCAAACCCACACCTGTTTCAGAAACTTGAATTGCATGTGTAAAGCCGTCTGGGCGGATAAAAAAGATAAAAAAAAAGGCCAAAAAAAAAAAAAAAAGCAAAAAAGAAAACGGAAAAAAAAAAATACCCCATTTCCTAAAGACAGAAATGAATTGTATTTTTTTTTTTTCCATTTAAGACAGGTTCTGTGTGCTTTTTAATTTTATTTTACGAGAAATGTGCAGTCTGTAAACATTTTATGATAACTTCTGGCGTCAAAGTGTTTGTGAAAGCTAAAATGAAGTAGCAGTAACAAAGCATCGTGTTCCTTCCGGATGGACAAACACGGTGGGGCTGGGGAGGGAAGGGAGGGAGCGAGGGGAGGGAGGGGGGGAGGTTGGGGCTGGTCATAACTTTTGCTGCCAAAAATATAATTCCAATTAAATTATTCCCCCCCCCCCTTCCCCGATGTATCCCCATTGCAAACCCGGATGGGATTTATTATTGCGGATTAATAAAGCGCAATCCCAGCCACCAGGTCTGGCGGTGGGGACACCTCCCGAGCAGGGAGGATGCAGAGAAAAGGGACTTCAAAATCGCGGATTGAACTTTTTAATTTTATTTTTAATTATTATTATTATATTTTCTTTTCATTTTTTTTTCTTCCTAATGGCCATTTTCATTGGGGCAATTTTCAAGCACTGACCTTATAGTATTCCGAGATCCTAGAGCTACTAAAAGATAAGGCAAAGTGACAAATGTTTCCTTCATGTCTCCTATACCAGAATGTAAATATTTTTGTGTTTTGTGTTTAATTTGTTAGAATTCTAACACACTATATACTTCCAAGAAGTATGTCATTGTCAATATTTTGTCAATAAAGATTTATCAATATGCCCTATATTATTATATTTTTTAAGCAATCTATTTTACTTTTGCCCGAAATTTCTCGGGAAACCGGTAGTTTCCCCTTCCCACCTTGATTTTAGCCGCTGAACCCTGCGGCGGGAACCTGCGCTCCCGCGGCCGCTCCGCACATTCCTGCGGCCGTCGGCGCGTTTTCTTAATGAATTCACTGCCTTGTAAATAGAGCTCTAAAAATGAGCCGCAGAGACCCGCTCGCTGTAAATAAATACCTTTAGAAAAGGGAAAAATAAACCAAACCCAACAGCAACAAACCCAGTCCCTTCTCCGGGTAGAAACTCAAGTGGGAACCGGCTCCTAATGGGAGGGTGATGCTAGTTCGCAGCAGCCTCGCTCCACTGAGGGGAAAAGGGGTTTTCCTTGGAAAAATATGGATTTTATTTAGTGGGAGAAATTTTTTTCCTCCCCCCCCCCCTTCCCAACATTTTTTCTCCCCCTCCATTTTTTCTTTTTTTTTTTTTTTTCTTATTTTTAATATTTTTTCCTCATTTCTCCCTATTTTTTAAATCCCCTCGCCAGGTCGGTGCGGTGAGGAGCAGGTCCTAAGAGGCAGGGACCCCACTTGCTGCTCTCCCCACCGCTCCAAGGGAGCGATCCTGGGCACAGGGGTAAACGTCTGACATTAAAAACGTGCAAAAAAAAAAAAAGGGGGGAAAAACAGGGGAAAAAAAAGTTGCTCCGGGTCCTTGAGGAAACTAGCTGGTTTTCTGGGGGTACACAGTTGTTTTTTCATGCTTCATTTGCTCCTTAGCCTGATAGACTGCATTAATCAGTTTTATTTCCATTGATAGAGAAACCTCGTCTGCTCTGTTCGAGCTACAAAGAATCCTGCAAGCTTTTGTGAAAGTGCAAATCAGTTTAGGCAATTATCATACCAGGAATATGAAGGGGAAAGAGGAGGCATTGCCCAGTGGTCTCCTTTAATCTCTTAATCCGTGGATCCAGGGGGGCTAGTTGGACATAATTTAGGACAATCTGACTACCCTTTACACTGTGATAAGGCGAAGTTACAATGCATCGCGAAAATACGAGCTTTGTTAAACATCCTGCCTTGAAAAGTTAAGATTAGACATTCCGTGCACGTGGTGGCTCTATCGGGTACTATGTAAATTCATATTTTTTTTTTTATTTTAAATCCGATTTTATTTTACTTTTTTTTTTTTTAACATTGCTCCTTAAAAATCCTGGTGACTTTCTATTCACTGGTGCTACAAATACGAGAGAGGCCCAGGCAGGGTTAGGACGCACGTCGCAATGCAGTCCCTTCCATTTAAACCTAGCCTAGTTGTTTAGTAGGGCTATTCCCAAGGTAAACTTCTCCTTGCGTTTCTCCCTTCCTGCAGCAGCTGATGGGGCAGGTTTGGGAAGTCAAACAGGGCCCGCATTTCACCTGAACTCTCCCAAATTGGTTTCCGCTCCGCTTCAATCCCGTGCAAATGGGCAAACATTAAAGGGATCGCGGTTGAACAGCAGATTTGGGCCTTTCTAGAAATTGTTTCCCATCTTGATAAAAGGCTTATTTCTGCAGGAACCATATATTTCTCTCCTCCCTCTCCCTTCTTTTTTTTAAACCGTGAGGGAAGAGAAGGGGAAAAAAAATTAAGCGTCCTATGTAGCGTAACAGCAATAAAATCTTCAGAGAATGCCATTAGCTTTGAAAAAAAAACCCTAAAAGCTTTATTACAAACCAAGCTTTGAAAATAGGGGGGATTAGGAGTCTGAAAGGGTCCCACAATGGTTAGAAGAAAAGGTTTCATGCTAATGAGGTTAATGCCCTTTGTATCTCAGGACTCCACAACTTCATTACTCCCTATCTCCGGCTGCACCAAGCGGCTCAGAACACTGCAATCCACTCCAGCTCTCCCCTGCCTTGCCTAGAGAAGGATTTGATAGCAGCTCTGTTCAAACTAGATAATTATATCTTTTCAAGTCGGAATTAAGATAAAGAAAGTGAAGCAAAGGCGGCTAGCCTTGATCCACTGCAAACAAATTTGGCGCACTTTCTAGTCTCTCTCCCCCTGCCTCAATAGGCAGGACAGTCAGCTTATTAGACCCTCATTTGCTTTATTAATTCATCTATTTAAAGTGGCAGGATTAGAGCGAGGGAGAGAGAGGCAGAGTCTAATGTGGGACAGTGGATGCCAGGCAACGTGGAAATATAAATATTGGCGAGATGCTATCCGAGCGGGTGTTTAAAAATACATTTTATATTAAATAACCGGAGGGGAGGGGGAGGGAAGGAAGGGGTATTTCGGATTTTTACTGCTCTTTCGAAGGAAATCTCAGTGCCGGCTGCCGGGGGCCTGCTTGTGCCCGCGGAGAACGGCCGGCCCCGCGGAAAGCCCGCTGCTCTCCGCGCCTCGACGGGGCTGCAGGCTGAGCGCAGACACTCCCCACTCCAACCCGCCCAGGGCCGGCTGCACTGCGCGGGCGCGCAGGGGTGCGCTGGCGAGTGAGCGCAAATCGGCCGGGCTGGTTTTGCGCCGTCTCCCTCCTCCATCACTTCACTCTGCCTATAGAGCAAGGGCGGTGCAAGCCCCCGCCCGCCCCGTCTCGCCTCTCCCCGGCCTCTTCACTTATGTCGCTGCCCGGCCGCGGCCCCGGGGGCTCCCATCGATGGGGAGGACCCGTCGAGGCCTCCCCGACCCCTCCGGTGGCGAGGCAAGAGGTAGAGGGGCCGGATCCAGACTCGCTGCACTACACCCGGCTCAGCTCCGCACCCGGTATCTGGCCCCTCTGTCCTTGGATTCTTAACCCTTTCCCTTCGAACCGAGCCGCGGCTCCCAGCTCCTCCGTGGCCACTTGCTCCGATTGCCTACAAAGAGCGGTTTGCACACCCCCTGTTTGCCACTGGACCAGGGAGAAGCCCTTAGAGTCCTCGCTTTGTTGTGTTTTGAAGCGCTGTTTATTTACCTCCCCTCCCCATTGATGGATGGCGCTGTTACTGATGAGGCTTGGCGGAAATTAGCAGTCCCCCCCTAATTAGCACCCCTACCTATCTGCCTGCCTCATAGGAAATAGGCAAAGCAGCTCCGGTCAGGCCGGATTCCCTGATAAACAGGATTCTCCCGGCCCCTTGCTCCCGTGTCCGTAACTGCTCGGAGCTAATGCAGCGATTGATTTACTTCTCCAAAGGGTCCCGCTGCGAGGGGAAAGCGGGAGTTTAGAGAACCTCCTGACCCCGAGCCGTAACCTCTCTCCTCGCCATCCCTTCTCCTGGTGGGACACTCGCGGCCGGGGAAGCCCGGGCCGTGGTCCACGCTTGAAAAGGAAGGGGCATTAATCACCTTCCCTCGTTCGCTTTTAATTGGCCTTTTGCAATTAGCGCCTGTTGCAGGGATGGCGACCTGTGGGCTGGAAGCGAGCCCCGCCGATAGTCCCCTCGGTTCCACTTCCCGGGGGGATGAGGGGGTTGTAGCCACCCCCAGCTCCGTGGGTCCCCCCCCAAGGATCGGGGGAAGCGGCTGCTGCGGGCTCATCCCCGCCTTGCAGGTGCCTTCCCCGGCCCGGGCAATGAGGGAGCCTCTTCCTCCTTCTCTTCCTCCCACTCTTCCTCCTTCTCCTGCTCGCCGTGGGCCGCCCGGCCGGGCTGCCTCGGGCCCTCCATCTCCCCCACCAGAGCCCTTGGCTGCTGTGGGGGCTTTGGGCGAGCATTTATAGACCCGCTCGCCATCGGCCACGGCTGGACCTGACGTCAGGAAGAACTTGATCTCTCCCGCTTTGCTCCTGCTTCTGAAACTGATCCTTGAAATGAGAGAACAGACTCTACACAATTCCCATGGCCTTGACATAAGGTGCAGCGATAAATATACACCACTAATGAGCAATTACCATATAATCACCTTCCAATTAGCTCGCATAATGATGAATTAAACATTCTAGCCTGCTGGATTAGGTTTCTTACTTTGTATATTATTTACGAAGGCTAGCGTCTGCTGAGCACCAAATATCAAATTAGATAGGGAATTTTCACTTGGGGGTAATTATGTATTCAGTGCATGCCCGGAGTTTTTGTCACCAGCTAACTGAAGTGTATTGGAAGGTAGTGTCCATCCTTTTCTCTCTTTCCTTTTTGATGTCTTAAAAGAAAGTCTACGCTTTTCCACCAAAGCTCTGCACGTCGCCTTCCCTCGTCTTAATCCTTCGCCCTTCTCTAGGGCTGGACAGGCAGGAAAACTGGCCAGGGTTTATTTTCGCTGGGACGCTTAAATAATGAGGAGCAGGAGGAGGTAGGAGCTGGGAAGAGTGATGGAGCTCCTCTCTCTCTCATGATTCCACCATCCACAGGAGATGGGCAGAGACCCGGACAGGTAGAAACTCCTGGTCCCCTCTCGGGGCGGTGGGACAGGCCGGGCAGAGGCGGGGACATCACCCCACTCACCCCACCGGGCAGATCCATGTTCCCCTCCCGCTGGTGCCTGTTTTCTTTGCCACTCTGCCCAGGATGCTCCAAAAATTGCCCTCATTGAATCCAGCTGAGTTTGGTCTTCGGATACTGGGCACCGGTTCCCCCTGGAAGGGAAGGGAGAGGAGGAGCATCAGCCCCTGAGAGGGAAGAAAAGCGGGAAGGGAGCTGGTCCCATCCCATAAGGGGATGGGGGGATGCGGAGGGGGTCCTGCAGCACAGCGTGGCAAGGGGGGGCACGGCCTGGGCTGCCTGGCTTTTGTTGGTTTAAACTGGACTCTTAATGTTTTCTTCATTAAGCGCTGGAGTGTGAGTAAACCTCTGCGACGCGTTTACAACCAGGCTATAAAGTGGGAGAGGATCTCCCTGCCTGAAAACATTCGCTGGGGTCTTGAAGCGGGGCAGAAAGCGGCCCCACAGCCCCATCAGGGCTTAGGCAGCCTCTCTCTTAGGGTTAGCTTTTTATAAGTGGGGGTCTCTTCCTGCAAAGGAGGGGAGAAACTGATGTCCGCCTCCTGCCCCGCTCCTCTCTCCCCCCGCTGACACACGAAGCTCTGGAAAGTCTCAGCGAT